AATGTGCATCGAGCGCATGCAAACATTTCTATTCGAGTATGAGTGTTTGTAACGATTTAGCTGTTTTCTGTGTACATGATATGTATTCATTTAGAATCAATATGTATTTAAGTTTTGTAAGCTCTGCCACAGATAACATAATTATATATAAATAATACTTTGAATATCATATTTATTTATGTTTAATCGACATCCTTAGAAATAACTTTCAAGCTTCTAGTTTTAAATTACGATAATTTCATATAGTCGTTCATCTCAACCTTTCAACCCCTTACAATACTTTTTTCGCATTAAAAAGCATTAAAAATTTTAGCCCATGTCTTTTCTTGGAGTCTAGACTATCTGTGTACTAAATTTAATTTTAATCGGTTCAGTAGTTTTGGCATGAAATAGACAGACAGATAGACAGATTTACTTTCGCATTTATAATAATAGTAAGGAAGTAAGGATAAATATATAATAGATGTAGAATGTTATATTTACAAAACTTTATATAAATAGAAATAAACCTCCAGATGCTTAGCTTTTATGGCTCTCACGGTCCATTATAAATTATTGCGGTGGGAGTCTTTAATCGGTAATGTTTCTTAGACTTATCGCTATTACTCGCCTCTAAATGATTGAATGATAGATAATAATAATAATAATTTATTGACATTAAATTTACAAATTTAGAGTAATATTCTCTTAAGATGATGTTTTCTTAAATACGGAGATTACATTAAAGGTTACAAATGCGTGATGAGACGAAAAGGTAAATTATTATATTATATTACATACTACATTAAAAGTAATTACCTAATATATTACATTTACCAAGGTTGCTATATCTGCATATACAGTTTTTTATTTCATCAGCAGTATATAATCAAGTAATATGTCAAAAGTAATAATCTAACTGATTAGTTGTATTTGTTTTTTATATATTTACAGATATTAAGAAATAAAGTAAGAATTTAAATATTTTAATATTATGAATTAATATCAGTTCGACTTGTTCGATATTTATTTCATTTTATATTTCAGTCTATTTACTAATTAGTGCTGTGCAACTACTAATAAATAACAGAATTACCGAGTAACTAATAAATACAAATTATGGTAGGTAAACTTTTTTGTAAATCATATGTAGTTTTTAGCTTTTAATTTACAATAATGTTAAAATTAATCTCATGTGTACCTATTTGTATTCTTTTCAGAAATAAGAAACATTAATAATATATAGAAAAACTAATTAATATTTTCTGAGACCGGAATAATAAGTATTCAAAAATTTTTTTATACTGTAAGACAAAATTGAACAAATCTTTATATAGGTGTAGCCCATAAATAACAATCTACGTGACAACTTGGGTTACTTCACATAAGGAACCATGTGAGACTCTTGTGACCTTTGATCACCTTTGAAAATAAATAAATTCCGGGAATACGAGTATAAAATACTTATTATAAAACCGCCATTTAGTATCATGTAGCTCCATGGCAGTTATTACAAAGTATGACTAAGCATTCTATGCCTACGATATTGTTGATGTTCGTATTTTATCTACTGAATAGATAGAATAGGTGAGACAATATTCGGCGGAAAAAAGAAATTATTTATGAAAAAGGTACTAGGCAACTTACAAATAATATATATAAGTCATCAGTAGAATTATTTTTAATATACAAAAACCCATTATCATTATTTTAAAAACTAAGCAACAAATTTAATATGATTTGGAATAAAAACAAATTGTTTTCGCAGTTAAAAATATTTTTCACGGTTGTTTACAAATATATAGATTATGTAGTATATTATGAATAATATTATCATTTTAAATATTTCGTTCATGTAATGTGTAAAATCTTTTCATTGGTGGTTAAAGTTTTTAGGCAGCAGCTATACCTTCAGATGGTCGTGGGTTAGATCACTATGCAGCACACACATTTGTATGCATTAGCATATATTTTTGTATGTACGTAATAATTTGTCTTTACAAAAAAATGTGTTGTGTATGTTTGTCTCAGTATTCAGTAGGTGTCCATAATAAAAGCTCTGCGTAGGTTGTGGCTACACTCAATTATTTATTTATAATGCCATTTTGTATAAAATGGATCTTCTTAAAAATTCAACACTCATAGCTATTAAGTTAACAAATATATATCTATTTTTTGAAGTTTATATTATATAAAAGGTCGGCTCGTGATAAGGATGCTTTTGACAATGTCAAAATATTACGAGTTCACAAAAATATAATACTGTAAGTGTACATAATGCATATATATATACTATAATAATGAGTAAGTATATTTACTTAGTAACCTCATATGATTAATCGTAAAATCTTATATTTCTAAAATGTTATAAAAATTTTAATGTAAATAAATCTTATGCATATTTATAGATTTAATCAAATAATCTCTGTCAACGCGATGGACTGACCTTATAAAAACAGCTGCACAGCTGTCCATTGTACAATGTTCTCGTACAACTAAAAACCATACCAGATGGAGGTAAATTGCGAGGAGCTCTGTCGCCAAGGAGTACAACGAAGATAAACCACCATGAAGGACACGACCACTCTGTCAATCGTGTACAACTAAAGAAAGAATATATTCTCTCATATATATAAATATATATTATTTCTCTTTAGTGTACTTCCCTTCATCTAAACAAAGTAATTAATTAATTTTAATGTCGTGCGTTTGAGGTAAGTAATACGTGTTATGTTCAGTCAAATGAAATTTGTGGTAAATTTAATGGATAAAGATTTCCGGTGTCCCGGTATGAAACTAAATGAACTGGGGGCATCGTACACTTGATGTTGATTACCCGGAGTTCTATTACCTCTTCAAGAGAAAATTCGATACTACACACTACATATATACACATATTTCGAAACTCCAAATGTCAAAATGTATATGTTTTATACGTAAATAATATTATTATTACCTTTATTTATTTATTTAAATTACATTTTTATTTTTAAATAAAATAATTAACTTCTTAAAAAATATCACCAATGTAAGTGGAGATATAAACAGATCTAATCTTGTGATTTTGAGACATTTGTTATTTAGATACTCGTTTAATTTGGTATACTGAAAGATCATTTTACTATATAGCTTGTCATTCAATCTATTTTCTAAGTATTTACTAAGAAAATCAGTAATCTGTAAAATAACTTCAAAACTACAAATATTAGATGCTATAACTAAAACTTACTTGTTGTCCAATGGCTGTGGGATATATTTATTGATACATATTACGAGTACCTGCAGTTTTAGTATATTGTTATATATCTATATAGATAGAAACATAGCCCTTTTTTAAAAGTATTGTACATCGAAATAATTAAAATTTTGTAACAAAACGGTATGTAAGCACACCTTATTATTTATATTAAGGAGTTATAGACTTTCACGGACAATATTTGCAGTTACAGTAGTACATTTAATTGAATTAAATATCGTAATCATTCTCGTCTTAATCACACATTATGGGTTAATTTATTATCATAGTGAGTTAGTCATATTTGATGCGACATGGGCCCTGCTCATGACTATATTAATATAGCTGTAATAATCAGCTTTATACTTAGAAACCCTTCTTTTATTTCGCGGTAGTCAGCCACATGACGTAGGAACATAAGTCATCGCCTTTTAACCAAATTTTATTTCCTTAATCAAAGTACGTATGTAATTACATATTTTCCACGAAATAATCATTACAAACGTGATTGTGTGTGAGTGATAAAGCTTAATAGAGGGCAATAATATGGTATATAATTGTCATTTTATCTAAATACTGTTTACAGAAGCATAATCGGTGTATCCTGAATTGTTATTAAAGCTGGCGCGGACGTGTAATGAGTAACGATACGTCACCGAATAATGTGATAATTGAAACATCGCTGATATGATACTCTATCAACAAGCATGCACTATGTTAATAATAAACCCATTCATCAAAATTTTTGTAAGTTATTATAAAAATATTATGAGAAATAGGTATATTCTTGTAAAATTATTGTTTAAATAATCAGAGGTGGATGGTATATGAACTTTCAGTTTCTATGCCATTCAGAAACAATAATTTCTGTTATATATTATTTGAAATAATTAACATACCGTTTTTTAAACTATCAGATAATCTTTTCTATATTTTGAATTATGGTTGTCTTAGATGTTATTTCCTTTGAGTTATAATTTTACTCCGTCACATATTAGATACCGATCTGCTATCGGACGTGTGTAATAATAAAGAATGATACTAAATAGTGCCTGTAAAGAGCGACCTTTTATAATCCGGGACACTGAACCTTAATACGTCATTATTTATTAATATTTTTTTATACAATAAAAAAACAATAATAAAAAATGTGGAGATATATATATATAATATATCTCCACTTTTTTTTAAATTTTGTATTATAATATTTCATAGCTTATAACCCTGGTTAAGACGATCACAAATACAACAAACATATTTAAAAATGCAACATTTAAAATTATGCTCTAATGACTAAGATGACGAGCAAAAGTAAAACGGCACCGTTGTAGTTGAAGAATATTTTTGTATTAAATTGACTTATGTCATATAAAAACAATATAATATTATAGAAAAACATAAATAATAAGAAAGGTATAAAAATTGTTTGCAACATACACAGATTATTGTTACGAAGGATACGTACATACCTGTAATATATCTAAATTTGTGTTGGATGTCCTCATATATATATATTCAAAACTTTAACGCTATACCTGGCTTTGTGCTAATAAAATGCTATAAATTATAAGGTGTAATGTATGCATACACCGTAGCCCTCGTAGACTCGAACCGTAGCCTCGTAGCAGTGTACATATACTCGTAGTCAACTAGCAGCTACGGTTCACGTCCGTGAATGCGTAGATCTACGCTGTACGGCCGTCATCTACGCAGACGAGGCCAGCTATATAAGCCGCGTCGAAACACAGGACACACCATTTACTTTCAATACCGATCGACGGGCAAGGCGGAAGAGAGTTGTATACAAGTCGGCATAACTACGTTGCTACAAAAGTTTATATCTGTCAAGTTATTCAACGGTAAGTGCTTTTAATACAATTTAAAACAATCACAGAGTCAAATTGTTATGATATTTCTAATAATTTATGTTAAATTATATGAACTTATATTGAAACAGCTGCCAATGATCCAAAATTTTAGCGTAGGTATCTTGGATAAACATACGTTACATGAATTTAATATATTATTTGGTTCTATTTCTTTAAATTCACGTACATTTGTTACTGTTTGAGCATCCATAAATATTCATAATTTTAATATTAAAGGGGTATATGCAATATCAAGAAAATATATTTTGTAACATTAAATTTGGGTGTTTAGACATCTCTGTAATTTTTATATGAATATATTATTCTCGATCAAATGTGTAAGAATATATAATATATAAGTTACTGGTACAACTACTTTATAACTGAGTAATTTTGAAAAACTAATTACAAATATGTATTATAATTGTTGGCGACTGACCGCCGTAAACTCCTTTTAAATTTCTTTTATATTTACATTTATATATATTTATTTATTATGTTTGGTCTTTAATAGTATTCGATACATTTATGTAATACGTGACTACAATTAACATATTTAAAATATAGTTAAAAACTACTTGTTTTTATCGTGATTATGATTATAATTAACTTTGTTCGAGATAATATAACTAAACAATTTACTGTTCTACACCATTAAATAATATATCAACGAGGAACTGCAATTTTATTACTTAAACTTGAAACGATAACTTAAACCACATAATTGGAAAAAAGTAAGAAAATTATTATCTATAACCCTAATTACTAAATTCTTTTACTATGTAGTTTATTTTGTAGGTTGTTTTTCGGTATCAAAGGTTATTAGTATTGGTCCTCAGGAACAACAACGTACGAGATGTTACACATGCGTTACAATATATTATATGATGTCTGTAATGATCATCTTATGGTATAGGTGACGGTTATGACTTTTCCATTTGAAGAGCAATCGATATCTTTGTCACATCAATGTTACATTAAACATTGCATTTATTACAAAATTATAACAATCAATTTAATATTAAAATCAAAATAAACAACACAATTCAATCGCCTGAGAAAAAAGTTGGAATAGAAATAATATATCTCTAAAGTAGTAATAATTATATATGTCTGTTATTAAATATACCATCACGTCTTAACAGGTATAACTCCTTATGTTCATCAGATAGTATGCTTATGGTCACCTGAAACACCCTTGTTGAAAAACCCCATGCCATAGTCTTTAGAAAAAACCTCAGAAAGCATTCAATCTACAATTAGCTTTGTAACTTTTTGATTGAAAGTCATTTGAAACCCTACTGTTCGAAACCATTTAGGTTTACGGTGTGAATATGAATTCCCTATGGACAGGATTTGAGTCCAACAATGCGAACTCGAACCTACCTCGGATCCTCTATTATTTTATGGACCGTTATCAGTGTATCCATCACTGGAGAGTCAGTCAGAAATATAAATTAACAAAGCTTTTTTTTGTATCGCCTCACGTCATTCTAGATGAAAGTCGAGGTAGTAACCAGAAAAAAAAGACACCGCGCTCTTAACTGTTTATTAATTTAAAAAAAGGTAACATAACTATTATTAATTCCTAGTAAAATAAACACTTATCATTGAACAAAATATAGTCATATGCTCGTTAAAATTTAAGCACATTCGGCAAAGATAGGATAGTGCACGCAATAAATATATTTCGTCAACAAAATATAGGATAAACATGATGCATATTACCACAGATAACATCATATTGTATTACTATCAAAAACCATTTACAACGGCCAGAGAATACGGAACCCTAAAAATGATGTACATCGATGCTACACTTAACGGCCAACTTTATTAATATTAAGTTAAATCGGTTTGCTTGAGACTTTACTACACTTTCAAACTAACATAAAATATTCATGAAACTTAAGTTTCACAACGCTATGAACTTAAAGTAACAACATAATGTAATACTTTACCCACGTTGTAGTTACTACGATAACTGAAAAATAATGATAGCAATACAATCTTTGTTCAATATAAAAAGAAAGTTTATACAATAAATATATAATACATTTTAATTAAATTAATTTTAATTAAACTCATTAGTGGATTTGTATCAAATAATTCAATTCAAATGCACTAATGAGATTAGTTTCTATGCTAATAAGATGGTCTCTCCGCTGAATAATTAGCTTGTATGAACCAGACCATTGTCAACTGCGGAATATATTCTTAATTTAAATGCAATATTTTATTTATTAGCTATTTGTGAAATGATTTTAAAAAGGAGGAGGTTCTTACTGTCAATATTTTTTACATCATGTAGTATAAGGAAAAGAAAATAACTATAAGGACATATATTTTTAAATACAGAAACCCTAGTCAGTCGTAATGTTCGGTTGCAATCCTCCTTGTACATTGCAAATATCCGGCAAATGCGAGCCGCCTTCCTTGCATTTCATCGGATAACTATCAACCTATTTTAGGATGCAGTGAATACATTTTCTACAGTTTTTACATATCATTTTCAGTTCTGTTACTTATATGTGTGGTAAGAAACATTAGTGGTAAACCTTGTTTATCTACCATAGACTATTAGAATAAATCTAAATAAATCATTACCATTATTATTATATGTGTATGAAAATAAGTTTTATTTTCTTATTTCATCATGAAATTTAGCATACTTGTAATAATATTTTATCAGTACTCTTACTATCCGAAGAATAATTTCTAGTCTACATAAAAAAGGAACATTAATTGCACTACACCTTTCCCTTAAGTACGGACTATATATATACAATTAAATTATTAAACACTATTCTGAATGTATTAGATAACACCTCTACTCTATTGTCAGAACCTGTAGGTACGTGTAGGGGGGGAATGAGCTTGTTAGTAATGTGGACTAATTCTAACGAAATACCAATTTAAGTTGACCTCCACATGGTTCCCGGTGAATTTCCACATTTCACTGATCTGAACTGATTTTATCACCGGAGCATTTGAGGAGGACGATGATGGGTATAAATCTTAACATCCGCCACCATTCCATTATCATCCGTCCAATCTATACGTATATAATATAACATGAACATTAATGTCACGAAAGTGAATGAAAATTTGACTACAGTCTTCTGGAAAATAAAGAGCATTCCCAATCGATCGAAAGGTTTTTTCCCAGTTGAGTACAGAATTGTTTTTCGTATTGAAATAGGGTTAAGTTTATCAACCCTCGAGTTGGTCCCGTTGGGATAAAGTCAACGTCTGATAATGGAATCTACGAAACAATTTCAAAACTCCCCAAATTTCTTATTTTAATCTTCTGATAGGGTAATAGTACAAAAAACATTCTTTATAGTAAGCTCAGGTGTAATAATGAAGTAATATTCTTTGACATTGAAAAAGTACCGAATTAAGTGGTATCGACTTCAGTGGGCCCCACCCAAACCTCACCTTTGGTCCCCCGGGTGCATAGCTCTCGAACTCCGTTCGTTTACCTAGTTTCAGATACTATACTATAGGTGTTCATAAGAAATCAGTGTATGGGTTTTTTTAATCAAATCAAATATATTATGCAATAAACATAGGTAGTTACTATTGTGAAATATAAAGTCCTTAATTAGTCAACATTGCATTTTTCTTCTATACGGTTAACAATTATCTATACGGTTAACAACTTAAAATCAAATAAACTACTAGATCTTATGTCAGAATATAAATTCTCCGTGTGACCGTATCCATTCCTACTGTGAAAAATACTAAATACTTGACGACGGTCAAAATGGATTTCGAAAAAATAGATCAACAACCTTGGCTATCTATAAATATATACAGGAAATATTAAATATAATTAACAGTAAACAGTACGCTATTGGAATATTATTAGACATGACCAAAGCTTACGACAAAGTACAATATAACATATTATTAGATAAGTTACACGGTGTAGGGATACGAGGAATACCACATAAATAGTTTGCAGCCTACTTGAAAAACAGAGCAAATAGTTGAAATCGAATACTTCAATAATAGTAAGAACATGATTGAAATGATAAGATCGGATAATAAAGTGGTAAACGCATCAATTCCTCAAGGAAGTTTTATCGGCTGTATATTGTTTTTAATTTATATAAACGATCTCCCTAAAATTGTACAAGAGTCCTGTGTTCTTTTCGCGGATGATGTCTCTCAGCTTACATCGTGCCAAAGTGGTACAGACTTGGATGCCCAACTTAATTCGATTCTTGATAGAACGTCTAATTGGATGCGCGACCATAACTTAGATATTAACTATAATAAAACTAAATTAATGACCATCCACCCATGTCAAAGAAGACCACTTGACGTTGACTTCGTGTATAACGGAATGCAATTGGAAGTGGTCAATGAATTCACGCTCCTCGGTATATCCATTGACTCACAAATAAATTGGAAATCGCATATCAAGAAAATAAAAAGTAAAGTGTCTAGGTTTTTATATGCATTTCGGGAAGTTAATAGAACCACTAACTTGCAAACCGCTCTCAGCACTTACTATGCATATGCGTACGCATGGTTGAGTTATGGGATAATAATGTGGGGAAACAGTACTGATGCACCTACTCTCTTTACCTTACAAAAAAAACTAATTAGAATACTAGTAAATATTGACAATCGTAAAAGCTGTAAACCATATTTCCAAAAACATAATATTCTTACTTTGACTTGCATTTATATTCTAGAAACCAGTAAATTCGTAAATATATAACTTACCACTTTCTCTAAAAGAGATAAAAAATGATAAAATATTTATAAGAAATCTCAAGACATTGTTGATTAAAAAATGTTATTATACAATTTTAGAATATAAAAATGACATATTGAATTAAATATTATACAATTTTAGTAATTAGATATATACAATTTCAAATTATTAATTATTATTATTATTTTTATATTATTATTATATATTATATAAAAAATAACTCGTCCTCCTCTCTACTCTTCCGCTTGCTGTGCCCAAC